ATATATATATATATATATATATATATATACTTTAATTTTACTTCTAGGTCAAAGCCAGGTCTTCCATTCAATAATTGAAACAAATACAAAGATGGACTCAGTTATTCTTGTCCATATTTTTGTATTAATTTGCTGTGTAGATTGCAGTATTAGTTCATTCGGTCCTGATAGTGGTTAATGGGTTGCTCTTAGAAGCTTATTATCGAAACCTGATTTTGGTTTTCTGTGATGACTGTACCAAGAAGTGAAGCGTTTTCTGGTGTGAAAATTCCCGCGGATAAAATGGGGTTGTGTGCATCGCAACCCATGGAATTGGAACAGTCAAGTGCCATTAACACGAATAACAGATTGTTACCCCGAATCTGCGAAAGCTCTGTCCAAGAACAAAATAAATCTCAGTCGAGTGCAGAGGCAGAAGTGGAAAATACACAGGCTGGGGCAACCAATTCGACTTCGAACAAATTTGTCTCTGAGGACACCAGGTAACTAAAACAAATTAACTCCCAATTTGTATTAATTATTTGCACTGATGCACTTTACACACTAATTTAACTTTTGAAGGAATTTTGGACCCTATCTTGATGTCATTACACACGAACGCATTAAGAATAATTACAAATCACCAAGGTGAGTTAATATTTGTGGTTTGTTCTGTTAATCACTTTACTCAAGCATTGTTAGCTAGGAAATGTTTGTTCATTTAGAAAACCCAGGATACTTTATGTAGTTATCAAAGTTGTCACATAAACAGCCGTATTAAATTAAATATAGACGTTAAACGCGTTACTAATATTTTTAGGTCCTCAGCGGGACCATAGGTATAAATGTTTAATAAACTGCCATTAAAATATGTTTGCAAGGTCACAAAATTGAATTTTAACCAAAGTCTGATTTTTATTGTCCATTCCGAGATCCATCAGCAGTTTTAATAGGTTAAGAGGTGGCTAGTCAGGTCATAATATATGCGATAATGAAAAGTCAATGTATATTTTGATTCCTAATACCAGGGGTAGAACTGAGCCAAATTCCCTATTCAAAAGTAGTATCACAATTCCGGCGTGTTACACTTTTATCACTTACAACAGTCCTATCACTTTCATGCTAGTTTCAAGTTTCTGGTATAAGAGGTTGATCAATTCACAAACATGTTATTAACATTAGAAACGAGACAAATCTCCCTTCGCTCCTCGCCAAATGAGATGTCCTCTCCTACAGAATTTTCAACCTTTATGGGCAGTTTTTCTTCATCAATTATCTTGGAAATTAATTTAATTTATATTTAAATATTAATGCTAGAGCACAAGAGTCAGACGAAGAGTCTGGGGATGAAACCAGTTCTGATAGTGGTGAAGATGAGCAAGGCCATTATCCACTTGCCCAGGATCCCAACGCAGAACTGCCACCCGAGCACTGGCACATCGGAAAATTGGTCAAGTACCTAAAAGTCCGCAACGAATGTCTACCTGTTCTCCGCTGTCGTTATCACACAGGTCTAAATATACTTTAATTTTTTAGGGTGGAAACCAAACGTCGACAATCATATCTCTGTGTGCGCTTCTTGATATGCCCTTAAATACTGAGGTTTGTCAGTTTGCTGTTCGGGACACGGGTGGTGTAGAAGTGTTAATAAATCTCCTAGAGACGGATGAGGTTCGCTGCAAGGTCAGTTCTTCGTGTGGGTCCGGGGTTAGGACAATTTATGAAGAAATTTATACCATGGAATTTGTCATTTCAGTTAGGGGCTCTGAAAATCTTAAAAGAAATATCCCAGAATGCAGAACTGAGACAAGCAATTTCAGATCTAGGCGGAATTCCTCCAATGGTGGAGCTACTGCGTTCACCAAATCGTGATCTTAAATGTCTCGGTGCGGAGGCGATCGCAAATGTGGCGAAATTCCCAAGGGCTCGACGCACAGTTCGGAAGCACGGTGGCATTAAAAAGCTAGTGAGTATTTCGTCGGAGGAAGGATTTTGTGGCAGCGGGTGATTTCGAACCTATCTTTCTTTTGGTCGCATTCAAAGACTGCGCAGTTTAACCTTAAGTCGAAATGCCTTGATTTTTGGTCATTTTTAATAATTTTCCTGTGTTCTTTGAAATATCTTACCGCTTTTATCCTGACAGGTTGCCCTGCTAGATGTGCCTAATTACGACAAAGATGCCACTGGCCCCGAGGTCGAGCGAGACATTGAAGTGGCGCGTTGCGGCGCCCTTGCTCTCTGGTCATGTTCGAAATCTGTGAAGGCAAAAGTAGCTATGAAAAAGGCCGGTGTCATCTCGCTCCTTGCGCGCCTCCTCAAGTCACCTCACGAGGCTCTTCTTATTCCTGTCGTAGGCACGCTAGAGGAGTGTGCTTCTCAGGTGATTCTGCTATTAAATTTTGACAATACACCACCACGTCTTCAAGCAGAAAAAACAAGGTCAGGCTTCGCAAAAAATACTATTATTACGCTCTCAACAGCAAGCGTTTGTAGAGGGCCCAGGCATGTTATCTTGAACCACGCCGGGGCTACTGCGCCAATCTTGGCCGATTACGTTACCCTGAGTACCCGCCAAGAAGACCGGAGAGGACGAGGCACAACCGTTTACGAGAAAGCTCACCCTAGTTGCGTTGTTTGCGTGTAATAGATGTAGCGCATGACTCATGTGTCCTGCTGTCTACAGTTGAGTGGACTAATAAAAATATAGGTGTCTGAATGGTCACATGGATAGACCGGGTGGTGGTGGTGGTGGTGGTGGTGGTGGTGGTGGTGGTGGTGGTGGTGGTGGTGGTGGTG